TCTCTCCCTCTCTCTCCTCTCATCCTCTCCTCTCTCTTCTCCTCTCTCTCTCTCTCTTCTCCTCTCTCTCTCTCCTCTCTCCCTCTCTCTTCTCCTCTCTTTCTCTCTCTCCTCTCTCTCTCTCTCTCTCTCTTCTCCTCTCTCTCTCTCTCTCTCTCCTCTCCCCTCTCCCTCTCCCTCCCCTCTCCCTCTCCCTCTCTCTCCTTCCCTCTCCCTCCCTTCCCCCCTCCCTTCCCTCTCTCTCCCTCCCTCCCCCCTCTCTCCCCCTCCCTCCCTCCCCTCCCTCCCCTTCCTCCCTCCCTCCCCCTCCCTCCCTCCTCCCATCTCTTCCTCTCTCTCTCTCTCTCTCTCTCTCTCTCTCTCCTCTTCTCTCTCTCTCTCTCTCTCTCTCTCTCTCTCTCTCTCTCTCTCTCTCCCTTCCTCCCTCCCTCTCCTCCCTCCCTCCCTCCCTCCCTCCCCCCCCATTTTTCTGTCTATATTTGTCACTTGACTTATTATAAAAATTGTAAAAAAGATAACCATGCACAGACTCCCTATCATCTCTCTATGCAATTACAATAACAATAAGTGACATTTTATTATTTGTATTTTCTAATAAAATCACACAATTCAATTTTCTATAATACACCCTGTTCTTCTGGTCAAAGTGGGTGGGAATAGGAGGCCACAAGATGGAAATAGTGGTCCTCATGGAGCTGGCGCTCTTCCAGTCATGGCTCATGAATGGTACAGATATACAACAAAAGCAGTGATGCTTCACCAGACCTGGCTTGGAGAGATCTTGCCCTTCTTGCCCTGAAGGTAGCCCACGTTCAAACTAAGACATAGGAAAAGGGGGTAGAAGAAAGGGTGATCTGGATTCGTTAGGCGAAGCAAGGAGTGAGTGTTCTGCTGTTTCAGTCCCATCCTATCAAGGCTAGTGTCCGCACCCCCCCCCCCTCTCTCTCACACATACACACACAGTGTGTGACTGTACCTGTTCTTACGCCTTCATTTGTTGTTTTAGCATCTGGCGTCCAACATCTTGTCGGTGCCCCCCCCCCCTATTGAAATATTGTCACGAGTATTATTCTAAATATCGGATCCAAGGGATATAAGATGGAGGAGGGTGAGAGACAGAGTAGCTGCTTAGGATAATGCAGAGCCATATATTAATATGTGGCATTGGGATACTGCTAACAAAGGATATTAACAACAATGTTGAAGGGTTTTTTTATATAGAAAATATAAGGTATTAGAATAAAACAAAGTGATAAGATTTCATGATAATTCTTTTCAAAATATTCAACGATAGCTTATTTCTTAGGGCAGGTCTCCAATATATCCATCAAATCAACAACTAAACAGGAATAAAATCTCTCTCTCTCTCTCTCTCTCTCTCTCTCTCTCTCTCTCTCTCTCTCTCTCTCTCTCTCTCTCTCTCTCTCTCTCTCTCTCTTTCTCTCTTCTCTCTCTCTCTCCATGTATATTTTAGTTATTATTTTATTATTGCACTTCTTTGCTGATTTTCCGTAGTATCCCTCCTTTCTCACATTCAAACCATCCTATGTCCTGGTTGTTTGAACTTGAGCCTCCTTATAGGGGAAGGTCATCTCTGCGAACCAGGTCTGGCGAGGTGTCACATTTCACACTTGTTTACTAGTGGAAATCATGCAAGACCCCTTCCTTAACCCATTAACGCCGGTATATTTTGAAGCCGAAAATAAAAGATTCCGGGTGGCTACAAAATCGGCGCGCGGGGCTGACCTGGACTCTAACCACATGCCGGCCACAGCCCACTGCTGCGTCGGAGTGCGAGCCCCGATACAGCGTCACACTGGCGGGATGCCCGCAATGTTTATTTTTTCGGGTGTCTCATATGTGGGACACCTGTCGTTAGTGGGTTAATACACACTATGTCTAATCACTCTTTGTGCACTTGTAGCAAGTCATTCCCTTCACCTTGGCCTTTTAGCAGAAATTCTCTAGATGTCATGTTCCTGCCACCCTGGCCTACAGCCATATTTTTTAATGATGGTATTTTCATGTCACCTGGTCCTCTGGCAAATTTTTAAGAATACTTATTTGGTATGCCTATTGCAAAAGTATTTTAAAAATTTCACATATGCGAAGCTGGGATCCTCTAAATGACTAAATCATTAGAAAGAGGTTTAATTTAGATGAAATAAGTGTGCACACCTTCTGAATGTTCTTGTGTAACTAGCTTCATAAGTGGCTACCAAGCCTATGCGTGGGTTGCCAACTGCTCTCCATTCTCCCAGACCAACACACATTTAGCTAAACTCTGGTCTAACAGGATTTCAGTAGACATTTACCTTTATTTTATTCACATAGAGAGTCCCAACTTGTGTGAAGTTCAAAGACTCCTTAGGACCTTAGGAGTATTTCTAGATGTTATACGAACATTTAGATCCAAGTTTTGAACAATGTTATATTTAAACTATATCTCCCAGTTACAGAGTGGCCCATTAAGGAATCAGTATAATCTTTAATAAAAACTGCTATTGTAAGAGAGGAAGTGATTGCCAGGATAGTGTCAAAGCCTTTTGCCCATGTGCTGGGATGATTATGACATACATGCCATGTCCACTCTGATTTCAGTGTGTTAGTTGTGTATGTAAACATAGATGTTATTAGTCTTACCTAACTACCCTGCATACCCATTTCCTTGATTTTTAGAAAGATCAAATTTATTTGTGGCTGTTAGTATTTTGATATTATTATGATTATTATAGCATTAACAGTGTGAATAACATTGTTGATATTAACCCATTAGATTGGGGTAATGTAACCATCATCTAAAAAGAAAAATTGGCAGAGAGCTGGGTGACAATATACTGTCATGGAAAAAAGTGGCTGAAGGTTGGGATGATGGGAATGACTCGCTATGTGTGCACAAAGCTCTTGGGGAAAGATTAGACTTGGTAGGCGTTTAGAAAGGGGCTCTTGCTTTATTTCCACTGTAAGCGAAAAGAATGCAACATCTGTGAGCCATGGCTGGAAGAGCACTGGCCCCAGGAAGGATATTACTTCCATACTCAGGATCCTATTCCTTCTCACTGTGACTGGCAAAGCAGGATGTGTTATAGAAAATTGATCAACATGAAAATAACTGATTAACATGAAAAAAAAAAAAAAAAACACCAATGATAAATAATACGTTTTAACTTCTTGATACATCATATCAAGTTATAAATGTAAAGTGGCAGAAATAGAAAAAGTCCTATACTGAAAAGGGGGATGATAACATTATAAAGGGGAGGCAAAGTTTCTTGACACTGCACTCGAAGTGTACCTGTGGGCCATGCCCACAAGCACACCTCTAGGAGAGTTTCCTCTCAAGTATGCCTAAAGTCTGAATTTTAGGCCATGTGTGGGCAGTAAGGCTTTGTGATCCATTGGATATTGTGGAGCCATCTGTATGTAAAATATTTCAACTTAAAGATTGCAAAATTGATACATGTTGAGAGGGTCAGGCATATGACAATGTTTAAGAATTGAGAGTAAATTTACAGCACTTGTATCAAGTGAGAACTACTTAAATTGATTGAATGACATAATAGTTTTAGAATGGCTGACTTGTTAAAAAGAATTGTTAATTAGTAATCAGATGAGATTTGATAAAGAATTAATTAATACCATGGATTGCCATAGATTTTTAAATGCTTCAGTTAGAATGGATCACCAAGTAAAAGCATGATCTAATGATATGTTAATCCATTTCAGGTCGCCTGTCGGTCGGCGTGCTGGTCGGCCCCGCAGTGTGTCTGAATCTGGTCATAGTCAGTCATCGGGGTCAGATGTGTCTGCCAGGCTAGCCCTTCTGGCCACACCTGGGAGAACAGCCAGCAACAATCTGCACGATGCCCAAAGTATGCGCACAGAAAGGCCAAGGAAGTCCAGACACTCCAGCGGCAAGGCCCATGGAGGGGGTCGTGGGGGAAGAGAGGGCCGGTCTCCCTATCAGGAGGGGGCCAGTCCAGGAAGCTTCTGCTCCCACCAACTTCAGCTGGGTCTGGGGATGAGGATGATGTGGGTGAGGCCAGGAAGCCCCGTCCTCCTCCCCTGCCTGACATCATGCATGACTGGGAGATCATTGTCAAGTCTCTGAAGGCAAATGAGCGCAGAGAGAAACAGGAAGTGAGCAAGGAATCTTCAACAAGTGGGAAACCAAGTCTGCGAGGAAAAGGCGTCAGGAGTCAAGATCCACTGAGAGCCTGTGTCCACTAACCGCAAGCTGGACTTCTCGGGTGAACAGAGGGTTCTTCCTGCTGAAGCCTCAAAGCCTTCCAACAGTACATTTGAAGCTGACAGTGACAAGGAAAATTCCAGACTGACTGAGAAACCAGCGGCATCATGTCCTGACAGTACTGAAGACAACAATGACAATCAGATACAGCCTCCAGTTCCTGCTGCATCACCAGGGGAAATGAGTGACAGTAGTAGTGAACAAAACTCACAAACAACTGATTTATTGGGGAATTTAAATAGTGATGTTGAAAAGCAAAAAGTGGGTAATATTAATATTGTCAATAAGAAATCTACCAAGTCCTCAGCAGACAGAAGAACAGAGGGGGAATCGGATGAGTGTGATGAAGAAAAAAGTAAAAGTGGTGAAAGAACTCCAAGAAAAGGTGAGGACAGGTTGAAAAGGGGAGGTAAACAAAACACTCCAAAAATATCCATGGGTCGAGGGAATACCGTGGACAGTGTTTCACCCAGTGATTCAGAGGGCCGAAGCCAGGGCAGTTACCCAGTGCGGAGACTATCAAAGTCTTTTCACCAGGAGGAAGTGTCTGCAAGTCCTGTAGGAAAAAGGAAGACCAGTGTAGATGGATCCAAAGAGGATATTTGTGTAAAGAATACTGAAGAATCTACTAAGTCCATTACTAATGATAGTAGAAGGACAAGTAGTGATAGTGTAGTTAGTAATATGACTGAAGATGATAGAAGTGATAAGAAAGGTGCAGTTGAAAATAATACAACATTTAAGCCAGTGAATTGGTAGAAGATTTCAGTGACCTGTCAAAAGTATCCCATAAAAAGAAGAGACAAAGAACAGGTGAATCTATGTCACCACAGCAATCACAGAAAGATGAGGTGAAAGACAGCCAGAAAGTAATATCAGAAACTAAGAGATGTGAAGAAGGGAGTGAAGAAAAGGTTAAGAACATAGATAAGGAAGGAGATATAGGTGTTCAATCACTGCCATTGTTAACAAGACGTAAAAGTAATTTGATAATGATAAACAAGTGATGCACAATACAGAAAATGGCTATGAGACTAAAGGGAATAAGCATAAGTCATCTGAAGAGGGAACATCCACACAGGCAGAGGAGAACACAAAAAGGCATAGAGATGAAAGCTGAAAAAGCAATAGCAAATGAAGAAGGAGAGGTGGAAGACGAAAAGTTCTTGGGTTTCAGTCAGGAAACAGAAAGTCAGATTTGTGCAGATGCAGTTAAAGAGAATTGTGTCATTGAAGAAAAGAGGAAAAGTGAATGTGATCTAGAGATCACAATAGCAGAATTGAACTCACAAAATAAAAGTGACTTGAATGAAGTTGCTATTCAAAATAGGGAACAGGTAGAACTTGCTCTTAAAAGGGAACAGTTTATGGAAGGTACAATTGGGGGTAAGACAATCATTAGCCAGGAAGACTTTGAACACTTATTTGGCTCAGCTGAGGAGGATGATCGCTTCACCTGCAACTTTGAAGGATTTCAGAGCATTGTCAGTAAAGATGGCTGGCTGGTGAATGACTCCATGGAAGATGAAGTCAATGATGAGTCCTTTGAGGGTTTTACATCAGAGGGAGTCCAAAACTTACTTGAAAATAAAAAAGTTTGCACAGAGAGCTGTACTGTGCCAGGTGCTGGAGAACTGGAAGTTAGAACTGTTATCAGAAATGCTTGTCATGCTTGCACAGTTAGTATTTGACAGTCCCCAAGAGTGGCAGCAACACCATCGTATTGGGCACAAAAGAATATATGAATGTGTCTTTGATGAAGGCTACTGCAAGGAGAGTAAAGGAGCAGTTTCAGTACCATGCACACTTGTGGGAACATCATGGAGCTCTAGTCAAAAAGATGTTGGAAGATCTAGCTAATGATGTGGCAATGTCCAGTCTGGCAGGTTCTCCCTCTACTTGTGCCCAGCCATGCAGAGTCTGCCTTTGTCTGTTATCACAACCAACATGTCAGTTACATGAACTGCTTGTGCATGGCCTTGGTTCCTCCATGTTACCTCTAGGCTCCTCTTCTCTGCAGGCAACAGTGTGGTGGACAGGCCGGGGTCTTGCATGGACATGTCATCAGTGCTGTTCATCTTCAGGCAACCAGAATGCACAGTACTTTCTAATGACATGTGCACCCCATGCATTTCCAAAGATACTGGCCAATCATCGTGTTAATGTTCATCTTCTGGCTGATACTTTGTTACATGGATGGTGGCTACTGCTTCAGCTGCTGTTGACCCTACCCCAGCTGCTCGGTCATCTATGGCAACCATGTTGGTGTTAGGGTTACAAAATAATCCCCTATTTGCATCCTGCTTGCTATGCAAGCGTTCCTTAGCATTTATTGTCAGTCCCCAATTGGACAAGCCAAGGGGTTATGTAAGGCCTGCAATGCTGTAGTGAAAGAGAGCAATGCCTGTTGGTACCACTGTGGTTTCTTCCCAGCCCTCAGCCAGAGTGCACTTGCAGCCCACTCTTCATGGCTCACCATAAGAAGGAGTTAGCAGGGGGATGGTGTGTTCTCTGTGGCCAGTGGTCGCACTCACTGCTGTCACATGTGTTTGGCCATTCCTTTTCTCAAGGTGAATACATCACACTTCCATGCCACTTTTGCCTATGATGCTCTGGTAGGGCAAGATTTCCTTTCATGGGTGGTTCACTCATGGACAACGCATGTGTTCCCTTGCCCATTTCCCCACATGCATCATGAACCATGGTGAGGGGCAAGATGACAAAAATGAAAGGAAGGACAGTCCTTGCCACGGCAATCTTCTGTTTATCACATATCAAAACTAATCATCTTCCGGGAGATGGAGCACTGTCCTTGGATGAAGTCGCGTGATTCTGCAGTGGATTCGAGGAGGGCAGGGAGGGCTGCTCATGTCTCAAGATGCCTCTCAAGTTAGACTCATCCTGGCACAGTCACACAGGTGAAATATTTTCTTTAGTTCACTCAGGTCACCATCTAAGGCCTGCCTTCCCTGTTAAGGTTTGGATAACTTGTGTTGTGTGTGGATGCTCAACAACCCTGAAACTTCGTTATCTTGATTCTCACCCATCACCCGTGTGTCTCCACTGCCACCTTGGGATACAGCGTTGTCAGTCTGGCCCTCCTTGGCGTTGTCCTGTCCATCATTGCAATGTCACTTCACAACATTCAAGCTTCTCTACACACACATTATGGAGTCCCCAAAACATAGACAGACCTTAAAACCAAACCTGAAATATTCAAAACTCCCTGGTAAATGCCCAAAATGTGAGTTAAGTGAGGTTTTCAAGGACCGACTGTCACTCTTTTGTCATCAGATTCTTTCACATACTCTTGCCTGCTTGGCTTGCCCTGCCCATGCCATCACAGATGCTTCACTGCAGCAGCACCGCACCACCTGCCATGGTCTGCGCTCTTGGGATGCTCTCTGGACCCGGCTGAAGCACAAGCAGCAACAGAAGTCTTCTCAACTTGGCCAGATGAGTGAGGTGGATGGAAGCGTGATGCTGGTGGGCATTGGGCAGCATGGTGGCATCATAGCCAAGTGTGATCCATCTATGAGCATATCCTCTCTGATGGAGACCTCTCCTATTCTGAGCCAAGAGACAGTGGAGCCAGAGACTCGCAGCATTCAGGAGCAGGTGGAGGAGAGGATGGCATGTGAGGATGAGGAGGCTGCCAAGGTTGGTGTGGCTCCCTGTGCACAGTGTCCATGTCACCTCACAAGTCAACCACACCCACCACTGACCATGGGTCACCAGCCACTACAAAGAAGGAGCTGAATACAGTCACAGAAGATGCAAAGGCTCTGAAAAATCAAAAGCTGAAATGCAATGCAGAGAATCCTGAAATGCCTGATACAACTAAGAAAGAGACAGAGGAAAATGCAAGCAGAGTGATTGCTCCACCTGTGACCTCATTTGAGGATGAAGCATGTAAAGGTGATGAGATAAATGATGACAGTGAAGAAGACAGTGGGAGTGAGCCACCCTTGCAAATTGATACTGCTGCAGCCTCACCCAGCTCACCTAGAGAGTCTTATCCTCATAGTCCCACCTCCAACATCTCCAGTCCACCCAGCTACCATATAGCCCCTAATGTGGAAACTGCTACCAAACCAAGTGAAGTTAATGCTGATTCTGTATCTACCTCAAAAGCTGAAGTTAGCAGTGTAGCTAAACCTAAGGTAGTAGCAACAAAAACTGCCAAGGATAAGAAGGCTAATAAAGATGGAAGCACACCAACTTTTGAGCTGGTTGATGCATTAAACAGTGTTGTGGCGCACACAATCCCCACCATGACAGAGGCCATCACAGAACAGCTGCAGCAAACCAATGATGTAAGTAAATCCAAAACACCTGTTGAGCAAGCTACTCCCAAACCAGACCCAGGATCACAAGCTATTCAGGAGATAGAAAATATCCCCAAGAAGAAGGGTAACATCAAAGAGAAGGTGGGAAGGAGAGGTGAGCCAAAACCACCACCCAAAGGACTGGGAGAGAATGCAGATATTGATGAAGCTTCAGTGGCAGAAAATATTTTACAGGACCTGAATGACAAATTTAATGGTCAGTGTGTGGGATGTGGTGTGAGTGTGCTGCTCCCTCGCCTTAGTGATCATGTGAAGGAGGCTCACCCACAAGCTCAGGTCAATTGTACATGTGGAGGGTTTCAAGGTGCTCTCAATGAGTTCCTGGTCCACTCCTTCCACTTATCTCACTTGCCCAGTGAAGCACGACCCATTGTTTTAGCTACACCAGATGGAGTGCAAAAGACAATGGTGGTGCTTGAAGCAAGAACTTCCCCACCATCAATGGGCTACACTTACCCTTGTTTCAAATGCGGGAAGAGGTTTAAGCAAGAAAAGTCCAGACAACTCCATTATAACCTCTGTAAACTCGAGAAAAAGTTGAATGTGATGTTTGTGGAGAAAAGTTTGTGCGTGATCATCATCTTGTAAAACACAAAGAGTGGAAGCACAACCCAGACTTGTCCACACTGTGGGAAATGTTTCACTTCAGAAGTTTCCCTTACCCAGCATGTCCTCCACATACACAAGAAACAGTTAACTCACAAGTGTGAGCATTGTGGTGACAGGTTCAGTACCCGTTCGAGATTGCGAGTACACGTACGAATTCACACAGGAGAACGACCACACAGTTGTCAGCGGTGTCCCAAATCTTTTGTGTCCAGAAACCTTCTAGCAAAGCATCTTGCCTCTGATCACCAAACTGCTAATTACCAGTCTGACTCCAGTGAAGACCTGAGCAAGTACAAAAGTCGCAACACAGGTCTTCCGTTGACAGACCCCCTGTGCCAAAGAATGCAAGTGATTCTGAATCAGAGACTTCTGATTGTGAGGGAAATGAGGATAAAGACAGTCGTGTTAACAAGCAGGATGATGATGACAAGGCAGCTGAGGAGGAGTTTCAGACACGGCTTGTGATGCTAGCCATGACAGAATCTGACTTAGAGACCTCAGACTCAGAGAGTGATGTGGCACCAGCATCACAGAAGAGATCTGCAGGTGGGAGGCAGGCAAGCCGGCAACAGAAGGCAGCAGCAGTGACAGCGGCAGCAGCTGCAGTGACAGGAACACAAATAGCAAATAAAGTAGATTCCTTGTCACCATCTCCAGATCCATTGCCAGAACAAGAAGCACAGCTTGAAAGCCATCAACTAGATATACAGAGGAGTCACACTGAACAGAGGAGAAAAAACCTTGTAGACAGCTCTAGTGGAGTTGTAGGTGCCATTGGTGGGGCAGTGGAGGAAAATCAGA